GTCACGTGTGGTTTCGTGACCAAACAGGAAATCATCTAACACACATTCATGGGGTGATTCAATGATTAAACACATCATATATATATATCATATGTTCCTATCTATAGACATCAATGTGAATGGTTTGATTCAAGGGAAATGTCGCAGGAAACCCATCGGTCTTGACCGTCAAAGTCGAGTTGGTCTCCAGAATTTTGAAGACCCTACGTCTTAGCAATTTGAAGACAATCAGGATCCACTCTATCTTCAAGCAAACCCGCTTTGTTGATTCCTTGGGGGATATATTTGCTCCGACAAAGATGGGGTTGCTGGCGCTTCAAGATCATATGGAAAGGTCACCGCAATGTTGGCGGCTTATCTTTAATACGGTTTGTTTCCCAAAGGATATGTAGGTACATACATATGCATATATCGCTGTATATGTATATCATATTCTACATATATATATATATATGATATAATGATAATAGTAATAATGATGATAATAATAAGATGTGTATCAAACTGTCCATGATGCAATCGCAGGAACACAGCAAGCCGTCAAGAGGTGTGGTTGGCCATAAGGTTGCTATAATCCAGAAAGGATTGATCCTCTTTGATTTCTCAGGATTATTAATCTGTTTATATAATTACATATATATATATAGTCATGAATATATATATATATATATCTTATCATATGTATATATATATATGATTATACATATATATATATGATTATACATGTATATATATAATCATATATTATGTATAATCATATCATATATAATTTTATATATAATCATATATATATAATCAAATATGTAATCATATATATATATACATAATCATATATGTAATCATATATATAATCATATATGTAATCATATATATATAATCATATATGTAATCATATATATATATATAATCATATATGTAATCATATATATATATAATCATATATGTAATCATATATAAATAATCATATATGTAATCATATATATAATCATATATGTAATCATATATATATATAATCATATATGTAATCATATATATATATACATATATTCGTGTATATATATATGTCTTATCATATGTATATATATATATATGATTATATATATATACTTATACATGTATACAATCATATATATATATATACTCATATGTATATACATATAATCATATATATATAATCATTCATATACATATATATATAATCATACATATATATAATCATATATACACATATATATAGATAATCATATATATATGTATGAATATATGAATATGTTGTGTATATCATACCTTCCTCATCCATAGACAACAACTTCTGGGGGCTTCACCACCATAGACACAGTTGCAGGCTACGTTTGGAAATCAGTTGAAGCCCATTGCATTCATTACATTTTAATACATTTTATTGAACATTTATCACCACGTTCGATTTACATATGGAGGTTTCCTGAAATAGGGGTAGCCCTGTTCATCATCCATTTTAGATTGGGATTTTCCATGAAATAAACCATCCTAAGCTCGCTTGGGGATATCCCCCATGGCCCATGACTATGGAAATCCCATTTTTGTGGATTGCCGTGGTGTCCGTGCTCACTTTGGTCAGGATTGCCAGCACCATATGCAGGTGATAAAGAAAAATCCCTAAATGGTAGGCTGGTTGGTGGTTGACCTACCCCTCTGAAAAATATGAAAGTCAAATGGGATTAGTGTTCCCAATATATGGAAAAATAAAATTCATGTTCCAAACCACCAACCAGTTTATTAAAGCTTTACCACATTAAATACATTAAGGAGGACAAATTCCGTGGTTCTTAATGCCACGACCATGCCAACCTACTCGATGGTCTTCCAAGCACACTGGGGGACTGGGGCACACCAATTCTATCTCATCTTTGGCATTCAAACATTCAATCTGTTCAGGCAGTCTATAAGTTTGCACTAAGACCACTTGCCTATGGATAAATTATCATCATTCACAAAGCTCATAGATTAAACATTGGGATGACTCATGATGTTAGTTTATGATGTTAATCCTATTGGGATGATTATGACTTCATATGGATCAATTCTCATGGTTCCCTTTAAATTGGGTAGGCCACACCAAATTTTATTGATCATCCTCCAGCAGAGCTACGCAAATGACGCCGATAAAGACGTTCATGATGAGCACTGAAAAGAAGAGAACCGCAATGAGCACCAAATAAAACTCCTGCGGTTCGTGTGGAGGAAATCTCGCTCTCCATTTGCTTCGAAAGTTTGGATTTTTTGTCAACTGGATGACATATGTTGGAGATAGATGAGATAGCAAGTTCTGAACTGAAAACTGAGAAAACATTGCTTCGGTGCTTCCATCAGCTACTGACGATTGGGTGAAGCTACCAATATTCAGGTTTTATATTGTTTTATCATGTTTTATCACCTAACATGGGTACAAAATAAATCAAAATAATGAATAATGGGTGATAAAAACCATGTAAAACCATATAAAACCAACTATAATTACAATTGATGGTACCAATGGAACTTCACGTATCAATTCTATTTCTCGAAGCCGGATCATCTTCAGAGGCCAGAGGCGCTAAATGCTGTGCTATTCGTGCTGCTGAAAACATCTTGGTCCAAAATCTTATGATCATTTAGGTCCCAAATGATCTGCCTTGGGACCAAAAGCTTTCCCGAAAAAAAACTCGTATCACAACTCTAATTTCCCCGCATCTTTCATGAATAAACCAAATCTCGTACCTGTATGTTATCAATCCACCAGGAAAGCGCAATTGTTTCCGGTCAAAAAAACACATCTATCGCATTCCATAGTGCCATAGCTATACTGCTGGGGTTGTTCCACATAAATAAAATAAGGTTTACCATGGTTTACCCACATAGTTCTGGAAAAAAGCCAGTCACATGGCTGGCGGCGCTCCATGGAGCCCACGTCAGACGCTCGTTCGGGCAAGGCCGCCGTGATCAAAACCGCGAAGGAATCGGTGGAGACTTGGGGCCATAAAGCCTGGCGATCGCGAGGGTAAACCTCCAGATGTCGGTGGATTTTTCAGGTGATTTCCCAAGTGATTTCCCAACTGCTAGCTTTGATTACCAAAGGGTATCATCAATAACCTCATTGATTTCAGGTGATTTCAGGTGAATTCCCAACTGCTATGTTTGATTACGGGTATCATCAATAGGGATATGACCCAGGGATTTGATAGATAGTAATGATCTGAATAGGATAATCGACATTGGGAGGATAACAATACGCATGAAAGGAATCGTCAAGTCTTATAGCAATAATCGGGATGGTCACGAAACATGGCTAGCTGGGAATTCTCCGAACTGTGGAGCTTTATCGCTGACATAGATCATCATAAATCGACCAAAAGCTTCAGCACCTGTGATGCTTTTCTCACCAAGTAGAAGGCATGAGTGAAGGCACCGAAAGCGATGAAGGTCACGAAGAGCGAAGGGCCCAGACCGCCTGTGAGGAAAGGCTTGGCGAAGAGCGGCCGAACGCGTGGAAGAAAAAGACATGGTTTAGCAATGGCTATACAATATACTGCAAATTGGAAAAAAACATATCTATAGTATACACTGGGTATATCTGGGAATGTAATGGAAAACCTTTTTTTTCTTGAAGTTTTGTTGTAGGATCGGCTTAACCATGATAATATAGATATTGCAAACATTGGAAAATATGCCATGTTCAATCATGTTCATAGATTCTATTCAGAGACGATATGATGGTTAGTGGAAACTGCTGACTGTTTGGGCCGGCAGCTTGATCGCTTTCCCGATACCAAGCATGTTTGAGGTCGGCTTCAATTTTCACAGCCAAAGTCTCCCCAGTGATCTAACCTGGCATTAGCAAAAATCATAAAAATTCTCTGATATGCCACTTGTACATACTTGTACATGAATTTCCACTTTCGAATTCAATTTGGTAGGAGTATATTTTTTCCCATCCAGGTTTGAGCACCAGAGACTAGGAGGCTTGAATTCCCCGAGAGGCTCTTTGGGAATCCATCAGGGCAAAACAACGTTTGGGGGAGCCCTTCGAGTTTGTAATTCGTGATACAGTAATGGTTGCTTGATGTCATTTGAGGACGAAAAAACCCTTCTGAAAACCATCTAAGTTGCTTGGTTCCTGTGAAATTCAGCCGTCACTCATGAGAAATTCCCATACAACCGGGGTGGTGCAACTCTTTGCAAACAAACACAATATAACACAATTATCTTTGGATGGTCTATCCCCCATTATTTCGGCTTCACATCACGAGTGGCTTTGCCCAGAAAATCAGGGTTTCCCATACCAGTAGCTCTTCAATAGGGAAAATCACCTTTCGCCACTCTCCACAGAATACAAACTTCAGGGAAGTGGTTTTTTCGGCAAACTGAGTCCCAACATCTTCAGACTGCATTTTTGTTGTTTCCATTTGGGGCATTCCATAAAAAAATACCCCCAAATGGATGGTTTATAATGGAAAAATTGCTTCCCATCATCTATAAATGGATGATTTGGGTGTACCCTCTGGTAATTTAACATAGCTGTGGAAAATCACCATTTTTAATGGGAAAATCCACTATAAATGGCCATTTTCAATAGCTATGTAAACGTTTACCAGAGGGTACCCCCATGACTTTTTGGAAAGCCACATTTTTCAATTTCCATTTCTACCCCGAGTGACTCGCCAGGTCGATGATGGGAAGCAACTCTTCACCAATGTACCTGGGTGTATCAAAGAAAATGTGTGTTTTTTTAACTATGATATATAAAAAATGATGGTTATTATATGGTTATAATAATGGTTAATACATTGTAATGTATGGTTCATGATGGTTAATAATCATTACTGGCTGGTGGTTGACCTACCCACCTAAAAAATATGAGTTCGTCAGATTGGATCATCATCCCAACTAGGAAGGGAACATAAAAAATGTTCCAAACCACCACTTTCTCACTTTCCCATGCGCACAGCGTTGGAGTCTGACGCTGCCCGTCTTGAGCTGGGTCACATGCCAATTGTTGTGACATAGACCTGGGTGAAACTAGCATTGCGGTCACAAAATGGCAGGGCGTCGATCTTTTTGGATTGCCGGCGGAACGTAGTGCCAGCGCAAGCCAACATCCAATTATCAATCGCTTCCAACCTATCTTGTGGCCAAGGCAGTGCCATCACGCCAGTAAATGTCAACACCATGTTAGAGTAAGGTTTCCCATATCCAAAGTGCAAACTGATCCCCATGTGACGGATCGTCTCCTTAAGGATCTTCGCAAACCACCTGGATCTTTGTTTGAAACCAAAACCTTGCAGGGTTAAATGTGAAACCTGTGTGCCCTCCAGCCACTTATGCATGTGCACCGGTCCTGGGTGACCAGTCGCCATCATAAAATCAGCGTACAACTGAAAATGCGATATCCACCTCATCGGCCCATCAGCAGAAAAGAGAGTTTGCCAGAACCAGCTAATCACAAGCCGCACCATGTGGTCTCCATACCATCGCACCGCACCGGCAGGGATGTGCAATCTAGGCAGGGGTGTCCATGGAGAGTCAGGGAGTGGCAGCATGCACTCCTCAGGGAGCGCGTCCGGCAAATCAGAAGGTTCCATGCTCACAACATCCTGGCTAATAGCAAGCTGCACACCCTGGATAAGAGAACTGAGGGCCCGGGCTCGTGAAAAGGCATGCTGGTGCCTATCCCACAGTGACCAGAAATGAGCTCCCCTGTTGCTATTGGCCTGAACCGCACACTTGTCTGCAAATGCATTATTCCTGAAACACCATTCCTCAAAGAAAGTTTCATTCCCCTGCAATGTCTGGTGAGCTGCTACGCGGGTGATACTAATCTGACCAGTGCGGTGCCGCACCAATCTCTCAATTTCTCCCCACAGGTCAGCATGTGTACTGTTGGCCCGCACGCTATGGCCAGCAATCAGCTTTCGCAGTTTCCGAACAACCGCTGCACAATCCGACCAAAGGTGAAGTGGTCCCACATGGGTCCCTGCACTTTGCAAGGCCCGCATAACAGCGAACACTTCAGCACGAATGGCACTTTGGAGTAAACCTGGCAGAGGGCCTGAGTCAATCAACGCTGTGCCATCATAACAGTGCACCCCAAGTTCTGTAGCTCGGGTCACCGCCCAACTTGCAAAACGCAATTGTGCACAATGTTGCATCTGACAGCTACCATCAGTAAACAAATGCAAAGGACCATGGTGTTCAACCCTAGGTGGACTCGTTAGTGGCAACGTGTCCAAATACTGGTGCCATTCGAGTCTGGTGGTGGGAGAAAGGGCCCAACCGCAACAAGAGATTGCCTCAGGTAGTTCAAGAATGATACGCAAATCTTCAGGTGAGACATGCTGTCGTCTGTGTTCAAAGTGTTCACATTGCCAGAAGCGATGGTACCTGCTATCGGTGCATGCACAAAAGGGGCACACATCCAGCTCCGCTTCCTGGCAGTATTTCTTGCCATCCTGAGTGATATGGGTTCCATTCAAAATTTTCCTGAAAAGGCCTCTGTCCGCAGTATCCAGGGATTGCAGCCATTCACGTGTGGCTGGGGCATCCACCTCACTAAGGCCCGCAAAACATGGTCTGTGGGCAACAGCAGCTGCAACAACCCATGGCCAATGAAACTCAACTCTGTAGCGGAGCTCCACCATGGAGGCCTCAAACAGTGAAAATTGCCCAATCATGTCCTGTATCTGCCCACTTCCCGTGACATGCCAGCCTAGAGCCATCACCCGCCTAAAGAGCGTGTGCGTGATGGAGTTGTTAGGGATGCATGTCATATCACGGGCGACGTCAGCTAAAACACTTTCAACCCTGGGAGGAGAGCCACAGTCTCGGGTGAGACCAAAGGTTTGTAGAATGGACCAACAGAAGGGGTCAACACTACTTTGTTCCACTAAACCAAGGTGCACTTGCGCATTTGCCCCGGAGGCATCCATCTTGAGACCTTTCATGGCACCTGCACGAATCGCCTGGTAAGTAGCCTGGCTAATCGTGGTAGCAGCAATACCATGCAATCCCTGTGGCCATGCCGCACTCAACAAGGCTCTTACCTTATGGGCATAAGGGGCAGCCGACATCCTTAGCTTAGGCCACAGGGGGCTAAGACGGGCTATGCGCTCCATGAGGGTGTGATTGGTGTGTTGCCGGGTGAACTGGACATGCGCGCCCAAATTGCGACATGAAGCCACCAATCCAAAGCCCTGAGACCGAATGCTACTCCTACCCTCGGCACTGAGGGACCAGGTGGAGGTTTTACGTTGATCTAGAAACATGTCCATGGCAGCAACGAATCGCTCCAAGCACTGAAAAGTAGGTTGCATGGCATCAGGGTGACAGACCAAAATTTGCCAATCATCGACATAGGACAGCGGCTGACACAAAGGGAAAAAGTGGACCATCCAAGCATGGAACATCATGTCAACAACCATCATACCAAGGCAGGACAATGCACATCCCTCAGGCAACCCGCATGTACTGTACGCAGGCTTACTGATACTACCCTGAATTTGGAATCGCCGGGGCATATTGGTCAAAGCCCCGGCCCAAGCAGTCAACACCGGAAATGGGACCCCAACAATTGCACATCCTTCCAATACCACTTCCCTAGGGAGATAATTGAAGGCTTTGCGCAGGTCAGCAATGACCCCACTTAAGGGCAACCCTTCCTCATATGCCATCTCAATACTCCAGAGCACATGTGACAATATTTGCCCTGCAAAACGGTGGGGCCTACTGCCAAATAGGCCATCAGGTAGGGCAGGTTCAAGCATGCGAATAGCTTTCTTTGCGTGAAATGTACCCCAGCAGCGAAACAAGAGGCTGAACACCGTTATGGGGCGAAAGTCCAAGGCACTTTGGGGTTCCTCAGTTTTTGCGATACAGGTGACCCTGCCTGCCAGCACTTGAGTTGGCCATTCACCTGTTGTCTCAGCTTGCCTATACATGTGAGTAAAATTTTCCAGTGCAGTCACCGGCATGGCCTTCAAATCGCTGAGAGTAACACCATCCAAACCAGCCGAGGTGGTGTTCTTTTTCTGGGCAATGCATTGGGCCAACGCATCAGGGTCCATAGGGTTCCAACACATATGGTGTCTGGGCAGATGGGCCCGCGCAAACTCTAAAATGGTGTGCCATCGCTCTGGTGAAACATCTTGGTGTCTCCCCCACATTTCTTTCCATGTCTCTAAAAACAAGTGAAACAATTCATCTTCAGTGCCAATGTGAGCCGGTTGTGCCAACGTCATGCCTTGCTTGACGTCTTGGGCATCCTCCACCCACAGGCAATCAGAATCATGGTGAATGATAGCAAGCTGTGCGCCATTGCAAAGAATTGGCCTGTCAGGAACAAAAGCAGTGGGTTTTTCCAAAACTATTGCCATGTCTTGCTGTCGCACCTCTTCAACCACGGCAGTGGTGGATTTAGTGAGTATATCCACCCCAGTCTGTCCACCCGTCTTGAGATCACGGAAAATCATGTTGGGATTCTGTTCTCGTCTGAGTCGCGCATATTGCCAGGAGGCCTTATGCAAGTCTTGTTCCATGGCACGGAAGGCAAGCACCACAGTATCAAAGATATGCATTGCAACATCTTCCCCAGGAGTTACAAATGGGATGGCAACAGGAGCTCCATGAGTACGGAAATCACACGTGTCCCACCACTTTGGGAAAGATGGATGAAAACCTGCCGCACGAAGGATAGACCCCCAAACCGCCCTCGCATGAGCAGTTTCATTGCCAGCATGTTTGACATGGCGGATGTATGACTGCAGGCGACGGGTTTGTCTCAACCATTGAGAGTGTCGATAGGTTGCAGCCACATACTGTGGTTTCACATCCCCATCCCTGGCCTTCTTCAACGGTGAAACTTTGCCATCGATAATGGCAGATGTTTGACATGTCTGTGCACGACCTATGGCCTTGCGTGGCACCTGGAAAGGCACAACATCACTTGCCGAAGTCTCAATGTGGTGCCAAAGGGCTTGGTACTTCTCATCACATGAACCTGTATGTTGGGCCCAAAGGTTAGGGTTAACCGGCCACACTTTTGGCCATGGGAAGTCATGGGGGACTGCCCAAATCTGGCGTGGCAAGCTGTTCCCCAAAGATTGAAAAACCCCATACAGCACGGCATGGTCAGGAAAGACATCCTCTGCAACATGTACTTCTTTGAGCAAGGCTTGCAATTCCCTAGAAACGTAGCAATAATCCTTACGCGTGGCAGATTTACAAGTGTTACGGATAGGATATCCCCACTCCTGGTTGGCAATATCTTGCAAGTCACGGAAGCCAGCTTTCTCCAGCTCTGCAAATGCCGGTATGGAGTGCTGGGCCACATTCCAATCGCCGGAGACATACCTGGGTCCTTTAGAAAGGTAACAAACCTGACTAATGGCTTGCTGCAAAAGCAGCTCATTGTTGGACCTATATGCTGGGTACATGGCACTTTCAGGTTCCCCATAGATCGTGGCACCAGTGACCCAAACATCTTGAAGCAACGTAGCAGTGCACATGATGCGGGAAGAAGTCTGGATGTTTTGTGGCCATACAGTTGGAACGGCTCTGGTCGGGTGTTTGGAGATGGTGGCAACCCCTCTCCATGCATTGTGAAACTGACGGTTGGTTTGCGAAGGCACCGGGTGGCCTCCCACACAATACCTAAAGGAACTCTTGGCAAAACTGAGCCCAGCACGAAAGGCATGGACATCTGTGCAGCTAAGGTGTGTCTCTGTCACGGCCCAAATATCCCCAAAGGCCAGGTGTGAAACAATGTAAGGTGCTTTCCCTCGTAATCCAGATGGATTGAAGGTGCCAATAACAAAATCTGAGTCAGGGCCAGGGTTGCAAGCTTCACCAATTCTGCACACAGCGGCAAGAAAAACAACATAAGGCCATCGACTCGCTGACAGGCATCGATGCGATGCATGATGGCACACAGCCAAACCCCAAAAACACATGAATGCCCAAATGAAAAGGCCCCGGGCACACGTGGCCTGCCAGAACAGTCCCAAAATGAGACACAGGCAGGGCAAGAGCAAAATGTGCCCTCGGCCTCCCCATCATTCCATACCTTCATCTCGCGGCCGCTTTGATAACAGCCCCCTGATCTGGGTCATCTGCTGTTCGAACAGTGACTGAATTGTTTGGTTCTGATTTTCAAGGTGACCGTGTAACTGTTGCGACTGAGCTTGCACCTGCCCTTGGAGGGCTGCAATCTGCTGAGTGTGCTGGCCATTGTATTCATGGATCTGGTGTTCAAGACCCTGTTGCTTGGCAAGGAGCTGTTGGACTTGGTCCTCCAGAACATGAACTCGTTCAGGCATGTCATCCTCCATGGGTGGCTGAAGCTTCGCAATCACCGCACTTTGGATTCTGTCCTCTAATTGTTTCATTCCTTCTGTGGGGCCCGTGGGGGCTGGCATGTTACTGGAGGGCTTGTACGCTCCCCAGGGGTCCTGCTTGATCCAAGGGTCATTCTCAGCAGCAGTGGCACCTGAAGCAGCGCCACACAGGGCCAGAGTGGCTGCAGAGGCAATTGGTGCAGGAAGGTTCACTGGGCCTCCGACCTCCTGCTTTTGTTTGGTGATTACAATTTCACCATGCAATGTGTGCACAATTGGTTTGGCCGGCTCCTCTGTCGATTGCACAAGCCACATGGCTCCTCTTCCTGGGCACGGTGTGGTAGGTTGGAGTGGCCTGCATTCCCACCCAGTTTTGGATAGGATTCTGCCTACCGCTTGTCGGTCGACCCCATATGGCATGGGGCCTACGGTGAAAACATGCTTGGGTCCATTGGGCAAATACACTGAGTCAGGTCGGATCAGTTGATGGATTGCCTTGGCCTGATCTACTCTAACCCGAAGCCCCCTCCTGTCTCCCAATCTAGCAAGGCCCGTGACCGCAGGATTGGTCCTCATGAGGTGCTGCATGTCCTGAAGGCTATGGCGCGGTGTCCATATCACAGTGTAGTCAGCAAGGATATCTTTGCCGTCAGGTGTTCGAGGTTCACAATAGGCTCCTTCCATTCCGCTATGCGTCAGCAGTGGGGCCAAAATGCACGTTGGAATGCGGATGCAGGCAGTGAATATGTCAGCTTCTTCTGCCGGGCAAGGCTTGAAACCACTCCGAAGGAATTGGCGTCGCCACACATCTAAGATGGGGTCTTTAATGGTGAGACTTTCATGGTTATGCCAGGCATCGCAGTCACAGCTGGCATCATGGCATCGTTTAAGCTTCGGCAAAAGTGAAACAAGGCAACGGATGGGCGCCTGGCAGAACTCTTTCCATTCCCCTTTGAGCTCGTCCCTGTAGGCAAGGATTTTGAGTGTCACAACATCCAGGGATTCAATTTGAACCACTGCGGGGTCAATGGGCTTTTCTACAAAACCTTGGCCAATCTGCACCAGGGTGACATCGGCAAGGACAGGCTCATGATCAATCACACACCGGCAAGGGACCGTGATAGTGGCATGTGGGAGGGCTGTAGTGACACCCCCGTCCTGTCTGGCAAGGATAGCCAATGCCAATGGCTCTTGCGACACCTTTGCACCTGCACGGAGGTAAGGTTCTGCTTCTTGACAATTCATGAGAACAACCCCACAGCTCACTGGTCCAATCTGGCTGGGTCTGAGTTGCGGCACAATCTGTCCCTGGCTGCGAAAGGTACCTTCCAGGATCTGGAGCTTGCTTGGGTCCAGTTCAACAGGAACAGGTGGCCCCTTGGTCTTGGATTTGCCCTTACCTTTACCCCCAACGGTTTTCCCCTTATTCTGCTCGACCGCAAGGGCCAATTCAGAAGGGAGCACAAACTGGAACTTTGCATGATTACCAATCATTTTAAGTTGTTTCCACGGTTGCCTGTGATTCATGGCAGCAATCAGTTGCTCACTGCCTAGCACACGGATTGCATCGTTGGCTCTCTGTTCAACAACTCCCTGAGGGATGCCATGTTTCAGGAGTTCCGTTACCAAGTTCTTCTGCAATTGTCCATGTGGTCCAAAACCCCAGTGCACATGCAGTGCCTCATCACGAGGCTGAGCAAGCAGGAAACTTGTCTGGAGGGCATGGTGAAAGAATTTCAAATGATCTACATTGGGTCGCATTCCAAAGACACCTGCAATGGTCGCAATTGTCATGGCACCACATGGGATGTCCTTCCTCATAGGCAAGTCACAGACGGTCCAAGGTGAACCCTGCATGTAGCAATACCTGACCTGGGTGTGCAACTCAAGGTAAACTACTATCTGTTCTTCCCATTGTGTGGCAATGATGGGGTGCCAGTGGGAGTCTTCTAGTACGACAGCCAAAACCCATGCATGACCCTCATGAACCATGTGAGTAATGTACTGTTGCACCTGCGGTCGTGCTTCAAGAAACACCCTGTACGGAATGTCACTATCTTGGAGGGAGCGCATGGCGTGAATGTGAAACTCCATTTCATCATGTCCCATAGCACCCTGGTGGACTGCAACTGGGCATTCCTGAGTGGCCAATGGATATACCGGACCTCCTACCACCTTCGTTGATCGTGCCGCAAGAGGACACTCATCAGGCATTTTAGGGAGTGGCCTGGATTCCCATGTGGTTCCCCATCCCCATAGGGTAGGTTCACAAGTGTGATCTCCGATGTGATCAGCAAACACTTGCTTCATGTCCCAGCTTCGATATCGGAGTTGCAATTCATCCACCGGAAGTGGGGTGCCTACCATGATGTGCGCTAGGAAATTGATAGCCAGTGGGCCACACAATTGTGTCACCGAAATCGGGTTTGGAACTCGGTGGATTATGATGCCTTCAAATCCAAGAGTACCCGCCAGCCTGGTCAGTTGATGGTCCATGGTCACGATGTCATCAGCACGGTGGTGCAAGGTGTGGCAATGCACGTCAGTCCCATGTGGTTCAATCCAAACGGGCATCCAATGTTGATTGATGTGCATGCATGTGACAATTGAGTGGTTCTCAGCGCAAAAATCAGAGTGTTCCTGCATCCATGCTTGCATCACATGCTCCTGGCCTAGACTCCATTCATACCAAGTCAGCGGTGGCAAACAGTGAAACTGTCTTTGTGCTCGATACTGGCTGGCCGGAAGTGCTAAGCTACACTGGGCAAGGTGGTTCAAGTGAAACAGGATTTCGTCATCGCCCATGGCATGTCCATGCGGTGCAATCATCTGCGCTCTGGTCTGTCTGGAACCCTCATTGGGTGGTGCATGGTTGGAATCATCAGTCCTTCCATGGCCCCACAACAGTGGGGTGCTGGTGCAATGGTCTTGAGGTTCAATCTGGAACTCCCCTTGCTGTCTCCAACTATGGTACAACAACGCAGCAGCATTCTTGAAACGTGTCTGGCCTAGTACAACATGCTCAAGGAAGTTGATTGCATACGGGCCACACAATGAAACCGGTGGTGGGGCATGTTCTTGGTAACACTGGCCCATGTTGATTCCCCACTGTCTTGCAAGGTGTTGCACAAACGCGTCCACCAACTCCTGTTCATATGGGCACAAGTTCATCGTGGAACATTGCACTTCCTGATCGGTGTTGGTGAGCCACACAGGTATCCATCGCTCAGCAATCAGTAGGCACGTCAAGAATCCTACTTCGGGGTGACTGGTTGCATTTCCATGAATCCAATCTTGCAGCAGTGATTCATGACCCTGGCACCACATGCTGGCAGCAACTGGCGGTATGATAGAGATCTGAGAAACATGTGAAACCCTACTCCATTGAGCCATGTTGTGAAACTGATCAGCAATACTTTCAAGATGAAAAAGAACTTCGAGGTCGTTCATCCGTGTTTCACCTATGCAATCATGTTCGGCAAGACCCAAGTAGGGCCAAACACTACAGTCACATCTAGGCATCACCATTGCCTGTGCTGCTTCCGGTGGCGCCAGACTCAAGGTAAAACATGTGCAAATGCCAACGGGCAATTTAGGGAGTAGCCCGGATTCCCCTTTCATGCCTTTTCCCCATACCACAGGGGGTGGTGTGTGAGTGATTTGGTACAGATGTTCAACAAAAGAAGCCCTCATGTTCGTGTGCAAAAACCGCAGTTCCTGTGCATCTTCGGGCAGTGGCATCTGGACAGTCAAGTGGGCAAGAAAAGAGAGTGCGTATGCCCCACACAAGTCCGTGTCTGTGATACGTTTGGGTATGCGGTGAGACGTACACTGTTGAAATCCCATCAACACAGAGAGTTCAGCCATGCGATTCTCAAGTTCCGCCATGCCCTGCACTTCATCATTGAATGTATGAACTTGTATGGTATTGACAACAGGCACAATCCAAATGGGCAACCAGTGATTGTCAATTGAGACAACCGTGACAACGTTTTGGCCTTGGTCACGGACTTGAGGATTGGTAGAGCACCAGTCAACAGCAATTTGTTTTCCAATCGAATCCCAACAGCTGAACATGAGAGGCTCCATGTACGTGTACGTTCGATGTGGAAATTGGCTGGGTCTCTGGTTTTGAATCAAACGAAGCAAGTGGTATCTCATTTCATCATCCCCCATGGAGGTTCCATTGCTATTGATTAAATCAATCCTCTCATCTCTTGTGATCCTCGGCCCACTGGATGGACTCTGAGTTTGCACTGCATCATCAGGTGGCTGGTCTCCAGCACCCCAGATCCAGGGGCGTCTCGCAATTTGGCATCTCGAAACCTCAGTGCGGTAAAGTGCCCGAAGCGTGTTGTGCAACTGCTGAGCCTCATCATCATTGGAGGGGAGCTGTCCCCCGATCAACATCAGACGGATGAATGCAATGGCGAGTGATCCACATGAGTTACTGGTAAAGAACAATCTCTGTTCTCGGCAAATGCTGGTTTCTTCAAAACCCAGTGCATGGGAAAGCCGGTGCACCCATTCATTCATTGGAGCATGATCATGTTCAGTTTTGTCCCATGTGTGGGCATGCAAAGTGCGTTTGCTAGGGACCAGGCACAGTGGGATCCAATGGCTCTCAATCTGCACCGCTGAAATCACAATTGCCCCATCACAGAAAACCTCTGGGTGATCAGCAGCCCATTTCGCACAGTCAAATTCTTTTTGGTGAGACCATGCCGTGGCAAGCAAAGGATCTAAAACCACAACCCGACGCACTGCATTGCCAGTCTTGGCTGAACGTTCAATTGATCTTTGCTGAATCATGTGCAAATGAAATCGAATCTCATCATCCGCCCAAAAACAGTCTTGTTGCTCAAGAACTTGGAGTCTATCCCTGGACTGAATATTGGTGCCTGAGTGACCACAGTTGTTGTGGGTTTGCCACACATGGTGTCATCAATTTCAGGTATTGATCCCCCTTGAGTCCCAAAAGTGGGCCAGCGTCCAACCAGGATTCTTCAGAAACCGACTTGGGGTCAGGGATCAAACATTCACCAACATCATACTTAGAGACCTTGCGAGGCGGCGATTTGATCACAGAGTCTTCATTGGGCAATTGCGTCCATTCAACCGTTGGTGAAACCTCGACATTTGGGCAAAACCCTTCAGGCGACAGACCAGCTTTCGGGGTGGTATCTGATTTGTCGTGCAGCGTGACGACGATGACTTGTCCCACTTCCATGACATGTGAACGATCAATATCTTGTCCCCGAAGTCTGATGCTTTCAATCTCCATCTTTTCAACCAGCTTTTCCTGAGCAGTCAAAAACTGGCCTACGGTGCAATCACACTTCGGTTGGAATTTGATGGGGGACTCAGAGCTTCCAGTGAACATGACCGTGCAAAAATCAACACTCATACACTCAACGGCGTCAGGGTCTGCTACCCGCACCGGTGCATCATACCAAGGAGTCGGTGCTTCATCATCAGTTTCCCCTTGATCCAAATTGGTTTGGGGGGCCGCTAGACTCTCAATCTTGATGAGGTGGTCTAAGATTGCAGCAATGCTAACATGTTGACGAATCAACCCTTGCCATCGAATGGGATACAACAATTCAGCAAGGGACAAAGTTTTGTGATCCTCCCAAAACCCAATCAACGCAGAAAGTTTGGGGTCATCAATGGGTTCGTGGTCACATGTCCAAACCTGCTTGCATCTCATCAAAAGCCATGCACGATAAGCTTGGATTTGTGCATTGGGGTCATATGTTTGCCCACCATGCTGCAATTGCTCGAGGCGTTCAATCAAATGTCCAAAAACCCATAAGGCTTGCAACGGGGCAGCAATCTGACCAACTGCTGACAGAGACAGCCTCACCTGCGGTCCAAGGTCCAGGATGGGGTCCATCGAATTGAGCCCCATTGCTTCATTGGGATGCAGGTGTCTGATTTTGGATTCACTCGTGCATGTTTCAGCGCTACGGGTGAGACATCCATGAAGACCCTTGGTGGCCAAACGAGCATCTGACAAGGGAAAGGCACGACATCCACACGGACATGGGTGCAACTGGTTGCCCCATGCATGCAAAGCACATGGTGAAACCCCTTGACTATTAAGCAAATGTTTACCATGGGCATTGTTGGAGACCCCAAATGCTTGCAATTCACGTTCATCAAGAGCGAGCTCAGATTCATCTTCTGGCGCCCAAGACCGGATGCATGGGATGACTTGGTTGACCCGTGTGACATTATCAAGCACTTGCCAAACCTGCATGTCAATCTTTCCAATCTCGGGTGCTGTGAGGAGCCACCATGTCCTGTGGCGTCGGCATGGCCACACATGATCCAACTTGAGGTCAATTTGGGAACATGTGAAACCTGTGCATGCAGTGAACCTGGCAATTTCCGACTTCACAAAATCATCCTTACCAGCTGGGGTGACACACTCTAAGATTACTGCTTTGACCTGGAGTAAGTATGCAGCATTGAGAGTTTTGGTGAGACATGAGGAGCGACTGTCATCTCGGCCTTTTCCATCACCTAATTGCGAAAAGGGCTGGCAGCTGAAGCCAGATGCCAGCACTGACGCCCCCTTTGCTCGTTTCCATATCTCATAAATCACCTGCTTACATCCAAAGTCCCCACAGATGGTGGGTGCATCGCTAATCTTTGAGTAGAGCTCCAACATGGGTTGATTGTGATCCACTGCTACAGTGACTTCCAGCCCAGCAGCGATGGCTCCCTGTGAGAGCCCTCCGAAGCCAGCACATAGGTCAATCAGAGACGTCATTGAGTCCCAGGACGGTTGATGAAAACCCATGATCATGGTGTCTTTGGTGGCCACCAAAATGGGAATGGGAAATTGTTGTTTCAAACAGCAGTTGAGCATAGTGAAACTTTGAAACCCAGCATCAAGCATGCCCTCGTAGTGAAACATTCGTCCATTGCATGAGGAGACCATCATATGTCTTTCATGGGAATGGTCAAAAATTGCGACCTTACACACCAGATCCAGAAATCCACCATTAGGCACTTGCGAAAATTCCATGGGGTATTCGAATCGAGACATGGCATGCAACGGGTGTTCCTACCAGCCCACGTTCGGCCAGCTCGGCCGCACTCCCTGGAAAGCTTGGGCAATCACGGCTGTGTTCCAAACCACCAACCAGTTGGGATATGATTCTCTGCATATCTCTGCATCAACCTTGGGATTCGATCGATTCAGAGATGATTTGATGATCAAACACAAAATTACTTTACTTCGAGTGATCCCCACCATGACATTTAAACATTTCGCTACTGGCAAATCTTCTGGCATTCTATCTGACATATCTTCTGGCATTCTATCTGGCATATCTTCTGGCATTCTACCTGGCATATCTTGTGGCATATGTTCTGGCATATCTTATGGCATTCTATCTGGCATTCTATCTGGCATATCTTCTGGCATATCTTCTGACATCCTATCTGGCATTCTATCTGGCAAATCTTCTGGCATTCTATCGAGCAAACATTCTGGCATTTTATCTGGCATACCTTCTGGCATTCTATCTGACATTCTATCTGGCATATCTTCTGGCATACCTTCTGGCATTCTATCTGGCATATCTTCTGGCATTCTGTCTGGCATATCTTTTGGCATTCCATCTGGCATATCTTCTGACATTCAATTCTATCTGGCATTCTATCTGGCATACCTTCTGGCATTCTATCTGGCATTCTATCTGGCATATCTTCTGGCATATCTTATGGCATTCTATCTGGCATTCTATCTGGCATATCTTCTGACATTCTATTTGGCATTCTACCTGGCATATCTTCTGGCATTCTACCTGGCATATCTTCTGGCATTCTGTCTGGCATATCTTTTGGCATGCCATCTGGCATATCTTCTGGCATTCTGTCTGGCATATCTTTTGGCATGCTATCTGGCATATCTTCTGGCATTTTATCTGGCATATCTTCCGGCATTCTATCTGACATTCTATCTGGCATATCTTTTCGCATTCTACCTGGCATATCTTCTGGCATATCTTCTGGCATTCTATCTGGCATTCTATCTGGCATATCTTCTGACATCCTATCTGGCAAATCTTCTGGCATTCTATCGAGCAAACATTCTGGCATTTTATCTGGCATACCTTCTGGCATATCTTCTAACATTCTATCTGGCATATCTCATGGCAGGTCCCAGGTTGAGGTCCGGCAGGGAACACTGAGGTTGGATGGTCGTGGTTGAGGTCCGGCAGGGAACACTGGGCGTGGATGATCGTGGTTGAGGTCCGGCAGCGAACACTGGGCGTGGATGATCGTGGTTGAGGTCCGGCAGCGAACACTGGGCGTGGATGATCGTGGTTGAGGTCCGGCAGGACACTGGGCGTGGATGATCGTGGTTGAGGTCCGGCAGGGAACACTGGGCGTGGATGATCATGTTGAGGGCCGGCAGGCGAACACTGGGCGTGGATGATCGTGGTTGAGGTCCGGCAGGAACACTGGGCGTGGATGATCGTGGTTGAGGTCCGGCAGCGAACACTGGGCGTGGATGATCGTGGTTGAGGTCCGGCAGGAGGTGGGCGTGGATGATCGTGGTTGAGGTCCGGCAGAGCACTGTGGATCGCAGGGTCGCAGTGAGCAAGGACGACGAGGCGACGAGGACGACGAGGAGACGAGGAGGACGAGGAGGGGAGGAGGAAGGAGGACGAGCAGGAGGAGGCGGAGGACGAGGAGGAGAAGGAGGAGGAGGAGGAGGAGGCGAGGAGGCAACTGACATAAAAATCTAATAAATTAATTTACTTCGTGTGATCCCCACCAGACATATAACATTTCTTACTGGCAAATCTTCTGGCATTCTATCTGGCAAATCTTCTGGCATTCTATCTGGCAAATCTTCTGGCATTCTATCTGGCAAATCTTCTGGCATTCTATCTGGCATATCTTCTGGCACTCTATCTGACATATCTTCTGGCATTCAATCTGGCATTCTATCTGGCATATCTTCTGGCATATTTCTGACATATCTTCTGGCATTCTATCTGACATACCTTCTGGCATATATTCTGACATATCTTCTGGCATATCTTCTGGCATATCTTCTGGCATATCTATCTGGCATATCTTCTGGCATATTTTTTGGCATTCTATCTGGCAAATCTTCTGGCATTCTATCTGGCATTCTATCTGGCCATATCTTCTGGCATATTATCTGGATTCTATATGGCATATCTATTGTGGCGCGATGGTGCGGTGCGGTCGCAGGGAACACTGGGCGTGGATGGTCGTGGTTGAGGTCCGGCAGGGAAAACTGGGCGGGGATGGTCGTGGTTGAGGTCCGGCAGGGAACATTGGGCCTGGAAGGTCGTGGTTGAGGTCCGGCAGGGAACACTTGGCGTGGATGGTCGTGGTTGAGGTCCGGCAGGGCACACTGACGTGGATGGTCGTGGTTGAGGTCCGGCAGGGCACATGGGCGTGGCGTCGTAGTTGAGACGTCCGGCAGAGAACACTGTGGATCCGGGTCGCAGTTGAGCACAGTGACGACGAGGACGACGAGGACGGACGAGGGAGGACGAGGCGGAGGAGGAGAGGAGGAGGACGAGGCAGGAGGAGGCGGAGGACGAGGAGGAGAAGGAGGAGGAGGAGAAGGAGGAGGAGGACGAGGAGGCAACTGACATAAAATCTAACAACCCTCACCTGGCAGGTGGGGAACAACCCTCACCTGGCAGGTGGGGAAAAAACATGACAGTAGCGATCCATCAGCCCTCACTTTATGGGTCAACACGGGGATGGGTTACCAGCGGATACCAGCCGTTGCTTTCTGGAAAATCCATAGGAATCCTCATGGGAACAAGACTTTGACGGGTCAGTCTGGGCTGAGGCATTCTGTAGCCCTGGCCATCGACCCATTTTCCTCGCGGTTCAATGGTTTCCCTGGGAAAATGATCTACGAATTTGCTGGGTTTTCCAATGTTTTCCATATGAGTTTTATGCTACTGGAGAGGGAAACATGTTCACCTGATTGTCAGCAGGATAGCTGGAACACTGTCAAACAGGGGTGTGACCTACTGGTTTCATCAAGATGATGGAGGTTTTTTTTGACATGGGAGCGCACTACCAACCATTGCAGTAAAGAAAAAATTGAATTGTTTTGCGGTCTTAAAAAAGGGAACAAAATCCATAAGGTAGCAGCAACACAAAACGGCTATATCCATCACCAAAACAACTAGCCATCAAAGAATATTCAATGTGCAAATACAAATAACAAACGCAGCGTGAATAGGACAAACGTTCTTGAGGTATCCCCAAGGAAAGGATCAAATGAAGCCTGAAGACCCTCAGTGAAGACTCGCAAAAACACCATTTGCAAAAACGTCTCCAAACTGAACCAAGAACATGTGAATGCATCGACAGCCACATCTTACCTCGTATGGTGGGGCCTCACGCAGACTTTCCAATCGGCTATGATCATGAGTTGAAAAAATATGCTTTGACAATCCTTGACACATTACAACCGCAATCACAGTCCGCTAAAGTTCAGGCGGGTCTTCACCACCACAATCATCAACATCATCCCCCTCACCATCACCATCACCACCATCACTAACACCATAAACACCAGCACCAACACCATCATGATCAACTACAACATCAACACCAACACCACCACCACCATCATCATCATCATCATCATCATCATCACCATCACCATCACCATCAGCATCATCATCATCATCATCATCATCAGCATCACGATCGCCATCACCATCACTATCATCATCATCAGCAGCAGCAGCAGCAGCATCAGCATCAGCATCGCCATCGCCATCACCATCACCATCACCATCAACACCATCACTATCACCATAAACACCATCACCAACACCATCATGATCAACTACAACATCAACACCAACA